GATGATCGTGGCATACTCCCAGCCAGGTAAGTTTAATGTTCATGACCAATCGTGAGCCCAAAAAACTCTAAACCGTATACCATTTAAGTCGAAATTGAATTGACAAGAAATTTTGAATGATTGATTGCAACAAGTCATTCTTCATAAAAGGGAGAAGGTATTTTTGATAATGGTTCAACTGACTGAGACAAAAAAATATTATTTTAATTAAAAAAAATAAATTATTTTAAAACATGGATACCGGCAGTAAAAATCACAAGCAATATATACAATTCTATTATGATCAATGAAATCCTTTCGTGAGGACCCGTGCACATAGGTCACAGAGTCGAACTTTCTTTTCTTCTCCGAATTTGGCTATAGGCATTGCTTGAGGTGAACAATTGGAGCAAACTACTCTTCCACAATGACTGGAATGATGATTAGAAGTGTTTGATGGCGTACTTTACCGGCAATGGTGTTTTCTTTGGGTTATGGAAAATTTAACTCCGCAGTCGCAAACATCTCCATCAGACCATCGAGGCTCCCTTTCCAGTCCATCTATTAACTCCATGAGTTGAAAATTGTGAACATGTGAATACCTAGTAATGCAAACAGCAGCTGTTTAGTTGGCATTTCATATGTGAAGACAGTGATTCCTTCGAAATTGCGTGCCCCCATAGACGCTCCTCTCCGTAAGAGGTGTCGACAAACAACAGAGTTGCCATTCATATAAGCAATCAATAATGCTACAAAATGAAGATCATTTGTCTGAACAAAAACATGACAAAACCAGTGTTTCCGAGATCGTCTTTCGATTCCACGAAGCTTATAAAATCTTTTTCAACAGTTCTTCCTGAGTCAGAGCTCAATATCAATTCACACAAGTCACCAGCTGAAAAAGAATCCTCGACTTTGTTCGAGGGCAAGGAAGCGCATATGTGAAGTGCCGTTTGATTACTGCAATTGATAGTTTACAGTCTACAAATCCTTCAGTTCTCACATTTTATTAGAAACGTGAATGTTGATATTTGCCTCTGTCAGTAGAATTTTGGCGCATGCGTAGCTACCATTTCGTACAGATGTTAAGAAAGCTGATATATGAGAAGATTGTCATATACGAAAAATAGTCAGAAGATACCTGTATCTCCTTTTTCATCAAGAATTTCAGTGCTTGCACCATTTTCTAACAGTATTCTAAGTAAGTCAGCTCTATGAGCACGAGCGGCATCATGGAGTGGAGTGCTACCGTCGGAAGTTCGGGCATCTATTACACATCCAGCTAGTATCTACGATCGAAGTTAATCATTTTAACTACCTTAGAAAACTTACTAAATTTCTCATAATCAATTCATTTTCGGCAAGAGTTGATAAATGTAGAGCAGTTTTCCGGGTTGAATCTTGTGTGGTTCGAGTGGGATCTGTGTGAGTTCCGAGAAGGAACAAAACACTTTCAAGATCATTCGTCCGTACGGCAACATGAAGTAAATTTTCTCCTAAATCAACACTAGTTACAACTCAAAAAAACAGAAGTTCACCGTTTCCATTAGTCTGAAGAGCGGCATGTGGTTGTCGATTCACAATTTCTTCAGCTGACTGCAAATTCGAACATGACTTGGAGAAGAATAATTTATTTTTACCTTATGATCTCTTCTCGATATAGCCAGAGATAGAGGCGTCTGGCCGAACTTATCCCGAGTACTAATGAATGAAACTTCAGGAGCTTCGAGGAGAATAGTTAAAGCTTCTTTATTGCTTTCTCGAACAGCTATATGACACGCTGTCCGTCCATCAACATCCTTTAAGAGCATTATCTTTTGATAGCAACACCAATAAACAATTTTACTTGTGCATTCAAATCGGCACCTTTTTCAATCAAAGCTTTTACCACTTCTGATTGACCCCAAGCGACTGCCATGTGTAAGGGAGTCTGCCCTTCGTCATCATTCACATTTTTGAACCTCTTTTTAGCATTAACGTCACATCCACTAAAAAAAACACTAAAATTAAGTTAAATGGAAAAGCCTACTTGTTGATCAGGAATATAGCCGCTTTTTCTTTCCCAAGGTCGAGCATATGATGAAGCAATGATTGTTCACTATCTTCGCACTGAGTCCAGGATTCCAAGTCACAACCAAATGAGACGAGAAGAGAAGCACATCCAAAGTTTTCTCAAAACACTTATTTTGTTCAGAATCGATAATGGAAATCCAACCTGTTGAGATAGCTCTCGTCAACACACCAAAACCATTTCCTACTACAGATCTTTCATTAACATTCACTCCAACGCCACAAAGTGCTTTTACAGTTCCTTCCATCCCTTGTGAAAGAGCCACCTCTAAACAACTTGCACCACTAGAATCTCTGTAACAGGATTGTTTTTAAAGAAATCATGATACTTATAGTTGCCTGATATTATGATTAGCTTTGTGGGCAAGCAGGAAAACACAAACATCATCCAGACCATTCTTGACAGATTGCAACAGTAAATTCTCTCCAGCTTTATTTGTTTCATCTATCAGTGCTCCTCCTAAATAACTCAAATCAGCTTCTTCATACAAACACAATATCACCAGCGAGGATTATTTCAGCACAATCAAACTTCTTGCTTTCCAAAGAAAGTTTCAAAACGGATCTGTCATTTTTATCAACTAGAGCCCAGTCAATATCTAAAGTTGTACGATCATCATAAGTCACCTTCAACAGTGAAGCTACCTTTTCCAAGCTTTTGTAGAATTTCTACAGCCTCAACAGATGTTTGAACGGCTAAGTGAATTGGAGTTTCATTATTTTCGTTTAGAACATTGCAGTTCAGCTGATGAGTTAAAGTTGACAATAGTAATTGTTTACCAAGATCTTTGTTGGTTTTGAACAACTCAACAATTTGGTGTATCAAATATGAGCCCTAACAAAGTAATATCAGAATATATGAAACATCTCTTTAACTTACTTTTTTATCACAAATGTTTATTTTAGCTCCGTTTGAAAGCAGAAACTCGTAAGACTGTAAATCACTCAACAAATGGAACAGTAGAGGATCTAATATAGAAAAGTTAGAGCTCGTTATCGATATGAAAGAAAACCTGAATGCACATGTACATCTACATTTGCTCCCTTATCAATCAATTTTTGAGCAACAGATAATTTAGGAGGTGCAACTAATGTATGCCAGAGACAACATTCGGATTTATCATCAATGACGTTAGGGTCCGCTCCGTTCTCTAATAGTGCTACGATGAAACGTTCCAACAAGATATTTTCATTCAAACAAGCTAATCCTAATGCACTTCTGCAAATTAATTCATTTGTTCTCCAGCAATGCTTGAAAACAAACCTTTTATGTAATTTTGGTTCATCAGATGTGAAATTAACATCGGAGGTGCTGATGATGCTTAAACCCCATTCTAAAAGCTCTTCGGTGACATTGGACTGAAACTCCATAAAACTATATTCTGTTATTTTGGTTATCATACTATTGCAATAGTTTGCAAAGGAGAAGGACAACTTGTGTTTGAAGGCTTCAAGCTAACTGAATTTTCAACTAAAAATACACACGCTTCAACATTTCCTGCAAAAGAAGTATCAGTTGAAGATGAGAACGCTAATGCACCTGAAATGATCATTCTATTCAACAAAGTTTCATTAGTACTGGGGTAAAACAGATTCACATCAGCTCCATGGTCGATTAACTGCTTTGCAATAGTGAAACTTTTCAAAGTTACTGATAATTCCAAAGCAGAACAAGCGTGCGTGGTATCATTCAAAAGTGTTTTCAACTGAACTTCACTTTTATTTTTAAAAAAGACTTCTTCAAACCTTTGAATCATTTTCAATGAAGAACAAAAACAACACGTCTTCTCTTTCAAGCTCAATGATGGAGTTGAGGACGTTCGTAGAGTTTCTAAGAAGACTTTCAATATGAATACATCATGTAACCTTACCCTTTCAGAAGACGAAAAAGTAATGTAGCGGATAGAGAACTGAAATGATCCTTAGTAAAATCGTTCCAACGAGCGGCAACCAAAGAAGCACAATCATCTCTGAAACAGAATGGAGTTGAAAACACGATGGACTAATCTAAATATTGAATTACTAACGAATTAACTCTTTATACTAACACATAACGTTAAGATCGACTGATTAAGTCCCTATAATCAAATTGATACCTTAGCTTGGCGAAGCCTTCTTTGTCTGCAAATTCGAATATTGGTACACAATTTGAAATATCTAATCTGGTAGTGAGAAGGAGCTCTACTCTGAATTTCAAGAAAAGATTCGATCAGACTGATACAAACACTTACAACTCTTGCAAACTCTCCAGCTTATACTTCGAAGAAAACTCTCCTATTTTTAAAAGGCTAGCATCATTGGTTTCATCCAAAACATCAGTGTACATCCACTTAAAAACTAAATCGAAGACATTTGAAGAAAGCTCTAAATGTATTATAGATTATCAAACCAATCAACACCAACAAACCCGAGAATTCAATCTTGTTTTTGTTTTCTAAATCGGCGAAGTAATGGGTCCGTACAGAGAGAACGAATTTGTGTCCTCGATATGTTTTACCTTCTACCTCGTAGGTTAGATCACTGAAAGCTACATCTCATTGAGAAAGAAAATGGAAAGACGAACCTGTATTTAGGATTAATGTATAAATCATTAGACAACTGAATTAGTTGACTTGCAAGACCATTAGAACTACTCTTACTACCGGCAGAAGATTGCAATAAATCAAAATTTTTTTTAAGTTCAGTATACTTCGAAGTCAATAATAAATGTTCAGCCCGTAATAAATCAAAATGACTCCGATTTCCCGTTTCCATTTCTGAAACAATCGAAGTAGATGACAACTATGAATAAATATTTGAAGAGCAAATCATTTTTTCAATGTTAAAGCAAGAGATTTTCGGGTACGGTGGGAAAAAGGGTGAAAAGACAACGGTGTCTATTCTTCTTGTACAAAGACAAATGAATTCAAGTTCATAGAAGGCTTTTACTGTTTATCTGTTACAATAGATTGTTTATCTAAAATTCAATCGATCAAAGATCATATAACTTGTGTATATAAAACGAAATGCGATTGATTTAATAATTTGCTTCAGTTGTCTGAAGTTATGGGTTCCGAAAGTAAGTATGAATCTGTCCTCGCCTCTCGTTACTGTAAACGAAGTCCTTTGATGGATATGTGGTCTGAGAAGAATAAGGTTTGGTCTCGTAGATGATTCGTATGTCTATGAATATGCATGGTTTGTTAGGCTGTGCTATGGAGACAACTGTGGATATGGTTAGCTGAAGCTGAGAAAGAACTTGGTCTGAAACAGGTGGTCTATCAACCAATTTTCCTTTATCCTTCCAAATTAGATAACCACCGAATCTATCGAAGAGATGAAGGCCAATCGTGATAACCTTGATTGGGATTTCATAAGAGATGAAGAGAGAAAGCTGAAACATGATGTAATGGCTCATAACCATGCCTTCGGAAAAGTTAGATTATCCCCGTATAGTTAGAATCAATTGAGATTTGAGATTTGCCCCAAAGCCGCAGGAATTATTCATCTCGGAGCTACATCGTGTTTTGTTCAAGATAATGCAGATCTTATTGTTATCAAACAATCTGTTGATTACCTTCTTCAACGGTACTTCCTTCTTGCCTCAATAGAACTAATTTTCTGTCATCAGATTGGCCACTATTCTTACTCGAGTATCTGATTTCGCTATAGAGCACAAAGAAACTGTAACAGTTGGTAGGACACATTATCAAACAGCATCTCTTACTACTGTTGGAAAAAGAGCAGCTATATGGGCTCAAGAGCTTTTGACATCTTTCAAACAAGTTTGCATCGAGAACGTATGACGTTCAACACAACATGTTACAGCTAGAACATTTTGGCGAAAACATTCGTTTCCGTGGAATCAAAGGAGCTACTGGAACTCAAGACTCTTTCATGACTTTGTTTAATGGAGATGAAGATCAAGTAGAAAAACTAGATGAAATTGTCACTAAAAAAGCCGGATTCAAGCACAAGTTTAACATCAGTGGTCAAACTTATTCTCGCCAACAAGTATGTGAAACATCCCCGTAAACGTTATTGGCTTTCTCGACAGGACGCTCAACTAATTTTTGCTCTCTCGTCAATAGGAGCTTCAATCAAGAAGATATGTTTGGATATTCGTGTTCTTCAAGCTATGGGAGAACTGCTTGAGCCATTCGAGAAGGTAATACTTTTTTTTTAATCAAGGAACCTGTTTATTTCAGGATCAAATAGGTTCTTCTGCGATGCCATACAAGAAAAATCCAATGAAAAGCGAGAGATGTTGTGCATTATCAAGAAGTTTGATCCACAAGCCACAAGTGCGTTTGCTTTCTGATATTTCTCAAGAATACTTTGCTTCTAGGAAGCTCTGAGTGTTTTCTCAGACCAAGGTCTGGAAAGAACTCTAGACGATTCCGCTAGTCGAAGAATGCTACTTCCCGACACTATTCTAACTACAGAAGCATTGCTGAGTACATTCCAAGTGATTATCTGTGCCCTAGTGTTTGATCGCAAAATATTCTTAAGAACATCTTCGAGGGAATCTCTGTTCAAAAGGATAATGTAGCCCGAATTGTTCGAGATGAGTTACCATTTTTGGCCTTGGAGAAAGCAATGATGTGGATGACAGAAGACGGAATCGACAGACAGGAGGTTGAAACTGAAAAAAATTAATTTTACTTTTCTATTATAAGGCTCATGCTGTAATCAGAACGACAGCGTTAGCAGCCAAAGAATTGCAAGCTACTCAAGTCATTGACATCAAATACATGCTGAAAGACTCTATTTATGACTCGGTTAGCAATTTTCTAATCTTCCCAGTAATCCTCTGTAATTTAAGGTTCGCGATCGTGTGACGAAATTGGTCGAGTCTCCAATTGCTTTCACTGGACGGTCAGTTTCTCAAACGGAAAAGTTCTTTGCCCAAGAAGTAGCTCCAGCTGTATCACCGTATTTAACTGGAACGAATGAGAAAGTTTCACTTGATGTTTAATTTACTGTTATCTGGTTAATAAATTGTTTTTACTAAAGAGTCTATGATTTAACAGTTGAAACTACCCAGTACCTAAGATCGAACATCAATACAGAGCTTAATCTACTCCAGATAAATAATGACTGAGAGAGATGTTGGCCCTAACCTATATACCTCAAACTACTGTGAGGAGAACGTTTACAGGCTAATAGCCCAACGTTTAGACTGTTTAAGCCATGTGGACTCTGACAACAGCAGGTTGAACTATCAAGATTCTTGTTTTCTTCAGAATTGGCTTACAGAGAGTTTGTGACTAATTTATCTGAAGATGTTGACAAGTTCACAGTTATCTTTATATCAAATGCTAATCGACAAATTCCATTATTTTGTCAAAAAAGCAGAAGGTGAGATTACCCTAATAAGACTATTCTTTTCGTTCCAGTAGTTCTTATGTTATATGGGACTATCATGTGATTCTAATGGAGGATACTGGTCAAGAGTTCATAATTTGGGATTACGATTCGACGTTGCCGTTTCCTTGCGAGTTTTCGAAGTACTTCGAAAAGTCTTTGAATGATAACAATCAATATAATATTCCGGATCCACTAAAAAGGTGTGAGGAATTCATGTTGATTATGAGAACATGGATGATTCAGAATGTTCCGTTTTATACCAGCCAAACACTATTTGAGATTGTTTAACAATGATCGATCTCATATGAAGTTAGAGAATGGTGATTGGAGTTCACCTCCACCTCAATGGACGGCTATCTTCAAGACAGATTCCAAAAGTAACATACATGATTTCATTTCAATGGATAGAACTCAATTGTCTGACGTGTCATTCATAATGAAAGAAGACGATGACTTATCCAGAGGAGTACTTCAACGCGAACTGTCAGTTATTCAGTAAACTAAATTCAGCGGTCATTGTTTTTATATTTGTTATGAGTAATATAATAATTTTCTAAGAATATATATCTTCTTAATAGGTTCTCTGTTCTCGAATCATGTGAAGCAATTTATTCTTACCAGAACTCATAGATCAATTCCGGGTGCCTCTGGAGCAAAAATTAAAGCCTTTTTGGCCATCAAACATTTTTGAAAAGACCAACCGCTGAGGGCGCGTTCATACTGCCTAACTGATTTGCTGACTTCAAGCTCTTCATATTTGACGCGGCTTCGAGTTTCACGTGGGCTCGTGTGTATTTCCGTGAGATGTAAATAGAACTGCGAGAACTACTTTCAATTATTAAAGTATCGAATGAACGGATATTTAGAAAATTGGCTTTTCTATCGTACCACCCGTAGATGAAGATCATTTCCCCAAGTGTAGGTGTTGAAATGACTTTTTGGCTCTTTCAGGCCAAAGAGCAGCTCATTTCAGCTTTTCAAATTCTAATAATCACAGTGATGTTTGTTTTCATTAAAGTCAAAGAAGCAGAAACACTTAAAGAAAAGTGTTATTTGTAGTATTTCTCTCCCAAAAGGGAGTTAAGTATAAAATAATAAATTGTAGAAGAATCATATTGGTGTCTTAAATATCAGAAATTATTTCAAAACAATGATTTCCGTTCAATATTTTGAGTTTTCGTAGGATTTACGTTGTACTTGCTGTTACATATTCATCAGAAGATAAACAATAACATGTTTTATGCATGATCAGTTGGCAAAACGAAATCCAAATAAGGAGACAACCAATTGGAAGGAAGTATACGCTTCATAAAAATGATTTTCAATGACGAAGCTCTGGCCGTCACACGTCAGGAACTGTGGTGGGAAAGAGAGAAAAAATAATTTCATGGAACGAGCTAATAAATAGGAATTAAGATTATTGATTATACATGAATGTGAAGAAAGTAAATGATGTTTATGATTATCTAACAACCGCTTTCTGGGTGACAAAGAGACAGACAGACGAGCAGGTTAGATGGTTTCATTCTTCTTCAAACTCTTTTTTAGTATTCTAAGTTATCATAAAGATCATAGCCATAAGATGATCGTTTTCCAAACCGCATCCATTTGGCATCAGGAGAACGTTTGCCAAACCTAAAAGTTGGTTGAATTTGTGTTCTGAACAGAGATACTGTCTCACCTCATCCATTTGGCATTTGGAGATCTCTTTCCGAAGCGCATCCATTTGGCGTTAGGGGAGCGTTTATCCAAATCATTCTGTAACATTTTCTTTTATTAAATTATATATGAAATTGAGAAACTTCAGTCAATGTGACGTCATCGTTCTGTGCAGACACGACGTAGGCCAAAAGAGAGCACAGTAAAGCGAAAGCGGCAAACCGATTCATACTGAACTGAAATTTTGTTTGAGTCGTAAACGTAATTAGCAGAATTTTTTTTAATTTAAAAAAATTTTAAAAAACGTTTGTGTCACTGACAATCCTGAGAAAATCAAGCAAAAACAATTGAAGTAATATGTGTGTTTGCGAATACATGAACGAGTGCAAATGACTCTCGGAGTTACGGATGGGAAAGTCAAAAAAAAATTTGAAAAAACGTCAAAGTAACTTGTGCAGAGAATTGAAGTCCTAATTGAGATTAGAAATCGTATACTCAGAATATATGCATATGGGTGTGTATGTATGTGGGGGTACCTTCGGAAAAGCTGTAAAGACAAATGTGAAAAAAAAAGAGGAGGAGGAGGAGGAGGAGAAAGAAGAAGTAGGAGGAGCAGAAGGAAAAAGCTTTTCCAATTCTCTGGAATGAAGCTGTTAGACTGAAATAAGATTTTTTTTTCTAAATCACGTAATAATCAGAGGAAAAGATTGTATATATTCATCCAACTTCAGCTCTCGTCGATCAGTTTTTAGAAGTTTCCACTCCCAAAGGTACTAATTAGAAGGAAAAGCAGTGTTATTATGCAAAAAAAACTTCTCTCTTTCTCACTATATTCCTACTCTCTTCTCTTGCAATCAAGAATGTTCTCTTCGGTTGATGTTTGAGAGAGAAATCAATTGGAGAGACAATTGAATTGTTCAGGATGGATAGTCTGCCGTTGAGACTACAAGGCCTTTTTTCGAAACTTATCTCATCACAGCTAATATGGTTAGTAAGATAGCCGCATATCTGACTTTATGTAAAAAGATCAGTTGGTTAAGAGAGCTCAGTTAATGTCTGCATGGTTTTATTGGCAATTTAATGCTAAATATAGACAAAGGACGAACATGATACTGAAAAGTTACGAGCAGCATGTCATGAAGGAAGTGTAGAGTCGTCAAGATTTTCTTTTCATTCATTTTTTCGAAAAAACAATTTTAAAACTTATTTGTCGTTGAGTGAAAAAATAAAATAATAAAAGCAAAGTATAATTCTTCTTTTCATCGGCATATTTTGTAAAAGAATATGAACAAGATGTTCATTGGAGTCAATCAAAAAGCAACTTTTTGCATAATTTCCTGTGAATAGGAAGGGAAATGAATTTGAATTCGAAATGAAATTTCGAAAATTAACCAAAAAATATCAGAAATAATGACAGAAATGAAATTATTTGTCTTTCATCATTCTCTCTGAAAATGATAGTTTACTTGAGAAGAAGACTACGATGAGGCATGTTGTGGACATTTGTCTTTTAAAAAAATAAAAAACACAGAAAGGCAATCTATGGGTTGTATGTGAAGATAAACGAGGACATTCTTCACACGTCGTCACTGCTTTCTTGCCATATTTGGCTGAATATTGTTCATTTCGGATTGTTAATGAGACACAAACAGCTCCATTACTGCCGTGAAGTCGTTCGATGAACAAAAAAACGGAAGGAAATGATGAAAATAGACAATCACATATACACGGATTGTTTTATGAAATATTCAGTTGAATTTACGTTTTCAAATTCAAGACATGTAAAGGTCAATAGGCTTTGTAGATATGCAAATGAGCAGGAAAAATGCTATACATGGTACTGCTTGAGTATGTAGAACAATCTGATTGAAGCAAATGGCTTCAGGCAAATGTACTTTTATAGATTTTACTTTTTTCATTTCATTATTTCTCATATCTAAATAGATGTTTAGAAATAAGAATAAAATAATTAAAATACATTTATAAATGTGTTTAAGAAATGAATTGTAAGATACAATGAGAAGCAATCTGATCATATCATATGCCTTTAAAGGAAAAGCTTCATTTCAAAACACATTTGTAGTGAATGGACAATAGAAGAGAATAGAATCTTTCTATCAAAATCTTTTTTTTTGTTGTTGTACGTGTCTGTGATGAAAGTACAGAACGAACTGATTTGGAAACTGTGAAATTCGGCCTTAAAAGGCCGTCCTCTCATCATCACGTCATCAAGATGAAGGCGGTACCAAGCTCCGCCCACAATTTTTATTCATTTTCAGCTTAAAACAAATACATATCGTAGATAAGTATCATTATTCGTGAATTTTATTAAAAATGTGACATGTTACTTGAGGATAACATCAAAAATCTCTTCTTATTTCTGACTTTACTTAATAAAAGTTTCTTTCGCTCCTACATTCCTCTGTTTGCTAGACGGATACACTGAATGCAACCGATCATTTGCAAAGTGGCAAGTTCAAAATGAAAATTTTAGTTTCATTTCCACGCCTACACGGAAATTAGCATATTAGTAACGTGAGAATATGATAGATAACAAAAATGTGAATTCCCTTTAGCACCTCTGAACTGTTTGATATGAATGTTATTGAACTTAATATATGAAAATCTTGTGTTCATTTTCATTTCACACACACACACATACACATAACTATTACCAAAAGTGGTAATTAAAATGTTACAATATTGAACATCCTCCACAACCCAATATGAGATCATTCAAAATTGACAATTGAACATTAGCGTAGGTTGAAGAAGGAAGGAAATGAAAAAATGAAAGAAGTAATTACTGATCACTTGACACTGAACGGGCCAGCAATCTTATTGTATGGTTGAGAGGATGTTTAATAAGAGAATTTGAAGAAGAAGCTTAAGCTTCTGTCATCTACTAGTTGCTTAGCAAATGGGCAGAGGTGGTGGTGGATGAATGTCGCAAAAACAACAAAAAAAGCCTCACAAAACGCTAAATAATTATGTGAATATTTGAGTTTGTTCTCGTTTTCTTTGTGAAACCTCTTTATCGACACAAACTTCAAAAGTTAATTAGCATATACATGCATATATAACTAATATATAGTTAAGACTATTAGGATCGTATGAAGCAAATAACAAGGTCGGTCGTCTATGCGGCAGTAACTGAAATTCATTTTTCTTCACATGTTTAATCCATAAAAATGTTTTTTTTTTCTCTCTCTCTATCTCTCTCTCTCTTTCTCTTCGATAAATACTTCATAGATCATTCAGAGGGATGAGGAACAGAACTTGTGTTTCCTTTCGAAAGTCAGCTTCAGAAAGTGAATATAGCTTATGCTTGTTGCATTTCCTTTTGCATAACCTTCTGAAGTATGAAAACGGCAGACAATACTATGTTAATTCACTTTCCATCAAAATATATTTTGTTTTCTTATGTTTTTAAAAGCTTTTTTTCCCTTTTTCTCCATTTTATGTTCAAGATGAGACAATTGCGCAATGAACTTCTCTTATTACCTACGAACTCTCATAACCTTATATGGCATTATCGTATATACCATATATGGTTTAGATATTATATATCTTCTTATACAAATTGTTTACAAACAATCGAGAACTAAACAATCTGAGTAGAACATTTCTCTATTTCATGCTTCCAACTCTTACTTACAACCTTTCTCTCTCTCTCTCTCTCTCTCTCTCTCTCTCTCTCTCTCTCTCTCTCATCCTTTGTTGAATACTTCAAAACAGCCTCAAGACTTCTATTTAGCAAAGTTTCTATCGTTTAGTATGAATACGCTTTCTGAGTAAAAAACAATATTTTATTAAAGCAAATATTTAAAAATAATAAAGCCATTTCTTCTAATATACTTTCAAAACTTATTCTGAAACAAACTCAGCACAACCGTCTGAGAATTATAAAATGAAAAAGAACGTCATTTGAGATTTGAGAGGACGTCACCAGTAATATAAGGATAATTTGAAATAAATTAATATATGATAATCA